ATTTTATAGCATGCACACAGTGCAAGCCGATCACCTAGTTTGATTGTATATTCTCTTAGACGATATTTTTATTTACTTTTGCTGTTATTTTCCTTTTTTAGTGAAGTATATATATTTTAGTTTTTATTTTTCTTTTTGATTAATAATAAACTGTATAATTTTTAAACTAAACTTTACATATAAAGATTTTAGAATTTCTATAAATAAAATAATAATAAATACGTTGTTTCCCTTTTCAATTTATTCGAACCCTAACTAGGTATAAGAGTGTGGTTTATAAACATGGTTAAGGATTCTAACAATTTTGGCTTCAACTGGTGACCAAGAGAATGAGGGAGAATAATGAATTTCTCTCCATTTTTTAAAATTTTTACTATTTGCTAGTAATAATATTTCCCCATCATTTTTTCTTATTCTTTATTATATAAGGAATTATATAACAAATGTATCCCCTATATATTAAAAGAGAAGCATTTTTAAAGAATAACCTTAATTTTGTAAAATATTACAGTAGTGTCATTTTGCTGATGTGTCATCACCAGAATCATTTTCAGCAAAATTATATAAATAGACTTATGTTACTAGATTAATTACATGTTATGTCACTCACATTAATTTAGTTATACATTAGTTTATATCAATTATATTGATGATGATTCATCAAGATATTCTCTTTTCCTATTTCTTACCAAAAATATTTCATATTAATTTTTTGTTTAAATACTATATTTTATCTCTTATTTTTATAGAAAAATAAATCATCACATCATTCATATAGTAAAATATATATATATATGTATATATATATTTTTTTTCTGTGTTATAATTCGAATTTCATAAAAAAATATAAATTACTTAAATGATTAATAAATAAAAGTATGTTTTAAAAGACTAAAATTGAAAATAAAGATGTATAGATAGATGATTCATAAATCAATATAAAAATACATAAATGATAAAAAAACAGGAAGCTTAATTTAATAGATACTATTATTTTTAATTTATACAACAAAATAACTTGGTAAAAAATTAAAATATTTTTGTAAGGATATTATATAATAATTTTATTAAACTTGTTGATATTAAAAATATTTTTATTAAATCAAAAAGTTAAGAATGGATAAGCATTGACTCAGTTATATACAATTTTAGATAATTTATTAAAAATAATAAAAAATAATTTATTTTTATATAATCTTTATGTATATTTAGTATTTAAAATAAATTTTACAGTAATATTCTTTTCTTAAAAGTTAATATTCTTATGATTATAATTTTTGCGGGTTAATCTAAATATGCATTTACATTCGTATTAGAAATATTAAAATCGATTATAAAATTTTAAAATCAAATTTTATTTTTACAATTTTAATACTCTCTATTTCAAAATATAAGTTATTTGTATTAAAGCACAAAGATTAAAAAGCAACTTTTCTTTTTAAAAAGTAATCATTTAGTATATAAATTAAATATAATTTAACTAATTATGAAAAATTGAAAAATATAATCGGTCACATAATATTCATTGGAAGTAGTAAAAAATATAAAAAACAACTATATTGTAAAACAAAACAAAACCTTTAAAAAAATTAATATTATGAAACAGAAGAAGTAGTAAATTTTTTTATTAGATACTTAATAATTTAATCAAAATATACTCCCTATATTTTTTTTAAAAAATTTTAAGATCATGTTATTAATCATAGGTTATAGAAAGTATAAAGAGAGACTTCTTCTTTCTATCCAGATTATGAATATATATTTAATTTTTAAACTAATTTACATTAGAATTAAATTACCCTAAAATTCATAACATAAACAAAAAAAATATTTTGTCAATATTACAGCATAATGTTATAAACAACTCATATAAAATCAATTGTATTTTTTATATAATTTTAAAATTATACTATATTAAATAAATAATAATTATTTCACCCTGCACATGGTGCGGATTATTACCTAGTTTCTTATTAAAATTGGGGAGAAACAAAATATATATATTTACTTCCTTATATATTTTTTGTTCCTATTTATTCTTTTTCTTTTGTTCCTTTTATTCTTTTCTTTTTCATTCATGTTTTTTTTTTTTTATTGATCACCAGTTAAAGCCAAATATGAATCACTCCTTACCCTTTTTTATTTGATCAATAAAGAAGAAACAAGATCTTTCCATATGGCAATGTCACGGTTTTGGCGAAGAGCTTTAGCTTGGTTGATGCGTAAGGCTTCTATACCGGAAAATCATCAGAGAATATTACCGACGCACCCGAGTTCTCCCGATATCAAGCTAGGATCTCGATCAGTGGAAGCTTACGCTAAAGAGTTCTTCGACGTGTCAAAAAGAATCGCCAACAATCAAGAATCTGAACAACAATTAACCAGACGGTTCATTTCCGGTTTGAATCCCCAACTACAAACCATGGTAAACCTATTCGAGCCAACCACGGTTAGGGAAGCTCTAAACCGGGCCACCATCATTCAACTATAACAGAAGGCGTCGTTGCTACGCACCAATATCTTCGAATCCACGTGTAAGGTTAGCGGCAAAATAATCAGTTTTATCATTGATAGTGGAAGTAGCGTCAATTTGATTTCTGAAGAAGCCGTGCGTAAGTTAGCATTGCGCAGTGTTTCTCATCCCGAACCGTATAGAGTAGGGTGGCTGGATCGAAGCAGTGGGTTTCAAGTTTCTAAGCAGGTATTGGTGAAACTCTCCATACTACGAAGACCTAATAATTTGCGATGTGGCGCCTATGACTCGTTTCAGTTTAATATTGGGCCGTCCTTGGCAATTTGATCGGCAAGTTATGTTTAACGGTTTCACTAACACATACACTTTCGATTTTAAAGGGAAAAATATTATTTTAAGCCCTAAAAAACAACAGATTTTTTTACTTGATAACAGATTGGCTTGGGCGCTGTACTTTTTCTTTGCTTTTCTTCTATTTATTTGTATATAAAACCAAATTGATAGATTTGAGATTTCATTTTCTTTTCTCTCTCATTTCCAAAGGAGTTTATTTCCAACCATTATCTAGCAATTGTGTAAGAATATTTGTGTTGGTTTTTCTCCCTTTGGAAGTTTACCGATTGGTTCCTGTTGTTTCATTTTTGAAACTATTTGTACTTTTGATTTGAATTTCTTTATTTTGAAAAAGAATATTTCAAACACAAATTTGGGATATAAGAGTAATCAATTCAAATTCCTGCAATCTATCTTTGATATAGAGACAAGACATTTCAAAAAGATATTGGTAAGCAAATATTGATATCATTGAATTTATTTTTCAAAATTATATTTTGAGCACATTAGATTTTCAGATGCCATTTGTAAAAAGAAAGTACAGCCATGTGATGTTATATACAAATCACCTGAGAAAAGATCAATTATGAAGTTAGATAATAATAGACTTTTTGATCAGTTAACGAATAAAACTACTTTTTGAAAAAGCATAACCATACTCTCATTTGCTGTATTTTTTTCAGTATAGTAAAAGCTAATAATCCACTTTCTCTATATAATGTTTTTGAAATCTCTCTTTAAATCAATGGAAATTATTATTTGTGAAAAAAGTCCTAAAAAAACATTGTGTCCTAAAGGCAACAGGATTTTAAGTCCATTTGAAACCTATGGCAAAATCTGTGGCAAAAATTTGAGGGATAATGTTAAAGTTATAAGAACATAATTATTGGAGAATTGAGAGGAAAGATTTTTTTAAAAAATTTATTATTAAAAAAATATTTGTTAAAAAAACAATTTTTTTTAAAAAAGAAAAAAATGTTGACTAATCATGTTTTGCCACATTCCAGAAAATTATTTTTATAGACTGTTTGCAGAGAACGATTCTCTTCATGAATCTTGCGAGAATTATTTTCTTTTCTTTTTCTTTTTTTCTTTAGAACTTTTCAAAAATTTTCTAATAATTATATTAAAAGGTGACAAGATTTTATTCTCCGATATTATATTTCTTATGTTCCAATATATAAATTTTTTAAAATTTTTACATAAATATTAAGAAAAATACTTTTTGATTTAAATTATAATAAACTGTATGATATAATTAGTTACACATTATTTAATAAAATTAAAAGTAATGCAAACAACTTATATTGTGAAACAAACTAAAATTTCCAAAATAATTTATATTATGAAACATTGGAAAATATATCATTAGACTTTTAGTTAATCGGGTGTTTGGGCTAAATTTTTAAGATTTTCTTTATTTTGTTCTCCGTTTTGAAATTTTTTAAATGTATCTAGCTGGCTTGTTTTTACCTTTTTCAATATAACTTTGTATAAAAATCGTCATATATATAGAAACATATAAAATTTATATTTTTTCTTTTTCTACATAGCAAACCACGTTCCTTTCTCCATATGTCGTCACTGTGACGTGAATCGTGGCACTGTACTGTACATGTATTTCTCTGCGTCTTTTTTGCGACGTTTGAGATTTTCATCTCTCAAAAATCAGGAAACAAATCGCAAATTTGTTCCTTTGTTTCCTTCAAATGTTCTCAATCAAATCAAACTTCCCGATTTGAGCTAGAATCGAATTCCAATTCTGACTATTGAAATTTCAGGCAGATCGAAATCCGATTCATCATCATCTTCTTCTCCGTTTCGATCGCTCTTCTCATCGGTAAATTTGTTTCCCTTACCTTAATCTGGATGTGTTTCCCACTCTTTTGCTGCTCCGAGACGCGAATTTGATTATGTAATCGATCGATTCTTTCGAGTTTCTGTTTGTACGATTCATGTATTGAGAGATCGTGATGTTGTCCTGCATGATTCGGAAAGTTGGTGTTTTGTTTCTGCGAAATCTTAGCTTAGAATCTTTGAAAACGAATAAATTAGGTTTAAGAATATAATGAATATATTTTCTCAGCTAGGATTTAAACATTCGTGTGCTTTGGTTTTGATTTGCCAAATTGTTCATTGTTGCAGTATAAATCTGGTTTTTGATGATGGAAAAATCTGGGTGTGCGTCTCTTTGATGAGTTTTGGAATGGGTGTAGTAGAAAACATGGTGAACACAGAGTCATCGAAAGTTAGTTCATTGAGCAAAAGTAATGTTTCTGAGGAGAAGCTTGGAGGAGGAGGAGGAAATCTCAATATTTACAACACCGCTTCGACGAGGATGCTTAAGTACAAGCGCCGGAAAGTTTTTGCGGTTCGAGATTTCCCACCTGGATGTGGAACTCATGCCATGAGGCTAAGATCGAAAACGGAAGAGAAGAAAGCTTGCGAGAACGAGAATGTTGCTGGTGATGAAGGGCTTGCTCAGTCTTGTGAAGCTAAAGCTGAGGTTGAGTCTGTAGCTAAGGAGGAAGAAAACTTGGGAAAGCGAGATGATGATAATCAGTTGAAATCCATTGATCATGAGCAGCCTTGTAAGGATATGGAAGATGGGCATGTCCAGTCTTGTGAAGCTAAAGCAAAGGTCGAGTCTTTAGCTAAAGAGGAAGAAAACTTGGAAAAGCGAGATGATGATCAGTTGAAATCCATTGATGAGCAGCCTGCTAAGGATATGGAAGAAGGTGACCATGTTCCGTCTTCTGAAGCTAAAGCAAAGGTTGAGTCTTTAGCTAAAGAGGAAGAAAACTTGGGACAACCGTATGATGATCAGTTTAAATCCATTGATGAGCAGCCTTGTAATGATGATATGGAACTCGCGGTAGTTGAATTCAATCAAGTTCTCGTGCAAGAACCGAAGAAAGTGGGATGTGATGATCTACATATGTCTGAGGCCGTGGATGTTCAGCCTCTGAGCATTTGTTTGCCGGATGGTAATGATGAGAATGTGGGGATTGGCTCTTTTGAAGAGCCAAACAGTGTGAAGACGAAAGAGCTTACTGTAAGATCAGGGACAACGAGTAAGCTGGGGTCTGGTGGTAGCAGAAGACAGGCGAAGAAAGGGGTTGCCTTTCATGAACCCTTGAAGGTTAACAAGAAGATCATTCGAGAGAATGGTGAAGGATCAAGGTTGAAGAACGGTGTGAAGAGGAGCTTAGACACGCGTGAGAGGGTAACTCCGGATTCTCCTGACGAGGAACCAGCTCGAAAGACTCGAAGATTACAAGTCGTGATCCCTCCTTCGCGTCCCAGTGGCTCAGGCGGCGGTGATAGTGCTCGGAGCAAAGTCAAGGAAACTCTACGTCTTTTCTATGGAACTTGTCGAAAACTCTTGCAGGAGGAAGAAGCAAAGCCTATGAAGACTAAGCGCTTCAGAGTCGATTTCGAGGCTATTAATATTCTCAAAAGCAAAGGGAGATATCCCAGCGCCGGAGCTAATCAGATTATGGGAACTGTTCCTGGTGTTGAGGTTGGAGACGAGTTCCAGTATAGGATGGAGCTTAACATGCTCGGCATACACAGACCGAGCCAAGGCGGTATCGACTATATGAAGATCGGCAGCGACATCTTCGCCACGAGCATTGTAGCCTCGGGAGGGTACGACGACGTGCTTGATAACTCCGATGTCTTGACTTACACGGGTCAAGGCGGAAACGCGATGATGAAACCAAAGAGAGGAGAGCAAGTAAAAGGTCCCGAAGACCAAAAGCTTGTTACGGGAAACTTGGCTTTAGCAAACAGCATAAACAAGAAGAACCCTGTGCGTGTCATAAGAGGCAACAAGAAGGCGGTTTTGGAGTCATCGTCAGGTGCAAGCAAAGGCGGGAACTATGTCTACGACGGGTTATACGTTGTGGAAGAGTATTGGCAAGAAACCGGATCACACGGTAAGCTCGTCTTCAAGTATAAACTCAAACGGATTCCGGGACAGCCCGAGCTATCGTGGAAAGTGGTGAAGCAAACGAAGAAGTCGGAGAACCGTGAAGGTTTATGCAGGCTTGACATCTCAGAAGGGCACGAGAGGTTACCGATTTGCGCGGTGAACGAAATCGACGACGAGGAGCCTCCTCCGTTCATCTACACGGCTAAGATGATTTACCCGAAGTGGCTCACGCGGATCCCTCCAAAGGGATGCGGCTGCACAAAGCGATGCACGGAGAGTAGAAACTGCGCCTGCGTGGCGAAAAACGGAGGAGAGATACCTTACAACTACGATGGGAACATAGTTTATCCAAAGAGCTTGATCTACGAGTGTGGCCCTCTCTGCAAATGTCCTCCTGCTTGCTACCTAAGAGTCACGCAGCGAGGGATCAGGTTCAAGTTCGAGATCTTCAAAACCGAGTCGAGAGGTTGGGGAGTGAGATCTCTCAGCTCGATACCTTCGGGTAGCTTCATATGCGAGTACGTCGGCGAGCTTTTGGAGGATAAAGAAGCCGAGAGAAGAACAGGGAACGACGAGTATCTCTTTGACATTGGGAACAAATACGACAACTCTTTAGCTGAAGGGATGTCGAAGCTAATGCCAGGGATGGAGAAAGAGAAAGAAGAAGAAGATGGTGGCGATGGTGGTGAGACGACGGGGTTCACCGTCGACGCCGCCAAGAAAGGGAACATCGGGAGGTTTATAAACCATAGCTGCTCGCCGAATCTGTATGCGCAGAACGTGTTGTATGATCATGAAGACAAGAGGATCCCTCACGTGATGCTCTTTGCGATGGACAATATACCTCCGCTTCAAGAACTCACTTACCATTACAATTACATGATCGACCAGGTGCGCGATGTCAACGGTAATATCAAGAAGAAGATTTGCTACTGTGGTTCTTCTGAGTGTACCGGTAGGCTCTATTAATCGATTACCCTCAAACTTTTTCTCCCCTATTTCAAACTCAGATTCTTCTTGCTTTATGTTATTCATCAACAGTTTATGTTATACCGTAGAATCTATATAAATTAATATACCATATAGCAGCAGCTAAGAACAGAACCGATGTGAGAATCAATGCTGTTTTTCTCCAACTGTTGATATGATCCTGCATACACAACAACAATGAATCAATCTTCGATGTCAGGAAGAGATCTTTTTTACCTGAACGATACTGACAAGAGGAGAAGAAAGAACATCGCCAAATATGTAAATCGCAACGGTAGAGAGAGCCATTGATAATGGTCTTAAACTAGTTTCACACAATGTAAACACATAGTTCATGTTATGGTAAATATATCTCTTTTGATAAATCCTCTTATGATTGGACCTTGACTATGTATAATCATGTCCATCAAATAAACAGGAATACATAGAAATACAAACATTGGCTAAAGACAAAGTAAAAGAGAAAAACAGAGGAAAGAACACAACAAAAACAGAGTAACCGGAAACAATAACTGAAATCAAGGCGCTGATAACTGAAATGGGTTGCCTTCTACCCCAAACTTCTTTCTCTCCGGTCCATTTTGCAAATATTCTTCAAGTAGGGTTTACGAAGGCTACACAAACAAAATATACGTTAGTTTCACTTATTCATTCATCCAGAAAATGCTATTATAATATATTTTTAAAAAATTCAGAACATTACCTATCTAGTCAGCTGTGGTGCTTCTTCTTCTTCTGCTTTTGTTTCGACCAAAAGGACTCGTGAACCACTCTGGTTTGTATGAAACCAATATGTATCCAATCGTCAACCCAAACGCAATACCAGGTACAAATCCTATTACAGCTGCAATCCAACTGAACACATCATCATCCTCTTCTTCTGGTTCTGGCGTTTCAGACTTTTGCGATGAAGGCTTGTGGATATCTCCGCAATCATCTTCAAGAGCAGGGCCCAAAAGTCCCGGGTTGTCTGCGAAGGAAGAGCAAGGCTGCGTTCGAAACTGAGTGCCTCCTGGTAATTGACCTACAAGCTGGTTATGGGAGAAGTTCATGTACTCAAGGAACGAGAGATTCCCTAGCTCTTGTGGAATTTCTCCTGAAAGCTTGTTTTGGGAAACGTCTAGTGACTCGAGAGCTGTAAGGTTCCCCATGGACGATGGTATGTGGCCACTGAAAGCATTGTTTGACAAGTTGAGAACACGAAGCTCTTTCAATAAGCCGATGGACTTTGGAATCTCGCCTTCAAGTTTGTTTCCAAAGAAGTCGAGTGCTGTGTAGATTTTAAGGATACGTTCCAGCTCCATCTCTATTCCTTTATTCATCAAAACCATTGAATCTTTGTAATAGCCTGATTGATCTCCCATATAACGTTCTTTTGACTGATCTTCATGAATCCCAAGTGATGACATTGAACTCCAGTTCTCAAAATAATCAGATGGCAGAATTCCATTGAATTGATTGTGTGATATGTCGATGATTTTCAGCGTAAGGAATATTCCTTGATGTATCGACCCATGGAATGCATTAGAGCGCAAGACAAGAACTTTCAGGTTTTGTAGAGAACTCAACCAGAACGGAAACGTGTCGTTGATTCTGTTGCTTTCCACATTCAGAACTTCAAGAGCGGAGAAATGGATCAAAGATCTTGGAAGCTTTCCCACCAATTGGTTATGACCAAGGTCAAGCGTTCTTAGACCTTTAAATACATTCTTCGGAAGACCACTAAGACGGTTCTGACGAAGGTTCAGAACTGAGAGATTGCTCTTGAGATTTCCCATACAAAGAGGGATTGAACCATTGAAATTGTTGTTTGATAAATCTAGAATGATTAGAGAGTGAAACTCGCATATGAGAGATGGAATCTCTCCTGTGAAGTTATTTTTAGAGCCAGACAAGTACTCCAGGGCAGAGGATAGTCCATGTTTCGTTGAGCTTTCGAAACCGACGAAAGTGTTGTTGGAAAGATTCACGTACGTTAGATTTGGCAGTGTCCATAACCAGCCAGGAACTTGACCTTTGATTTCGTTGTTGGAAATGTCTAGAGTCCTCATACTATGTTGGGTTCTCAGAAGTTCTGGAAATTGGGTAATACCGCAGCGTGACAAGTTTAAAAGTAATACTTGTAAAGGAGAATCTGAAACTGAACTTTTGTTTGTGGCTAAAACATGGTTCCCCGAGAGATGTAATATTTGGAGTGACTTGGAACCTGATAAGATTGCATTCAAGTCAATCGTAGTTGTGGTGTTCAAATAGGAGAGGCCAAGAGTGCCAAGAAACTTGAGATGCGAGAATATACTGAAGTCAATGGGGCCTTGGGTGTTCCAATGGGAAAGGTAAAGTGTCCAAAGATTGACTAATTTGGAAATGGATCTGGGGATTGGGCCTCTGAAGTTGTTACCACTAAGGTATAACCATTCTAACTTTGATGGTGAAGATATATTCCCAAACTCAAGAGTGCCGTTGAGTTGGTTATGTGACAATTGAATCTTTGTCAAGGAGGGAATGGTGAAGAGAGAAGAAGGGATGGTACCAACGAAAGCATTGTCCCTTGCGGAAAAATCCTCCAAGTTGGAGAGTGAGCTAATGTTTGGAGGAAGCGTTCCTGTGAGTAGATTGGATCTCAGTGATAAAGTCGACAGCTTTGTCAAATTAAGTAGTGCAACAGGAAAGTTACCACTAAGCTTATTGGAGTATAAATCTAACTCGGTCAACTGTTTCAAACTGCCAAAAGAAGATGGAATTTCACCATCGATATTGTTATTTATGAGTTCAAGAGATTGGAGATGATATAGCTTTCCAATTGAAGATGGAATCTGACCCCAAAACTGATTATCTGAAAGATCAAGAGAGGTGAGATGTGAAAGACTTCCAATTGAAGATGGAATCTGACCAGAAAACTGATTATCAGAAAAATCGAGAGAGGTAAGATGTGAAAGATTTCCAATTGAAGATGGAATCTGACCAGAAAACTGATTATCAGAAAAATCGAGAGAGGTAAGATGTGAAAGATTTCCAATTGAAGATGGAATCTGACTCCAAAACTGATTACGAGAAAAATCGAGAGAGGTTAGATGTGAAAGACTTCCAATTGAAGATGGAATCTGACCAGAAAACTGATTATCAGAAAAATCGAGAGAGGTAAGATGTGAAAGATTTCCAATTGAAGATGGAATCTGACTCCAAAACTGATTACGAGAAAACTGGAGAGAGGTAAGATGTGAAAGATTTCCAATGGAGGATGGGATTTGACCATATAAATTATTATATGAAAGGTCGAGAATTGTTAGAAAAGGAATGTTTTGAAAGGTATTCGAATGAAACCTGCCATGGAGGCAGCTGCAGCTGAGATCTAGCTCGATCACTTCTCCAGACTTGGCACCGCACGTGATACCATCCCAATAACAACAATCAGTGTTATTTCCCCATGACTCCGTCTTCGGATAAGGAGCTCTACCTTTATCATAATAACAATCAAGATCAGAAGAAGACTTCCGAATCTCAAACTCGTTCTTGAACTTGAGAAGTGCATTTCTTTGTTCTGGACGACACACATGTCTAATAGGAACCGCAGACATGTTTTGAAAATAAAGTATGAAAGAGAAGAGAAAAGAAAAAGCAATACGAATGGTCCTCATTGAGTTCCAGGAGCCTTTCGTTCTTCTTCTTTAAGCTAATTTAATTTTCTTGAATATCAATAATGAAGAAGCGAAAGATGGAAATGGTGATAATAAAACATGGTTTCATGCCCATCTCTTTATATACATTGCATATAGAGTGCTCCAGCTTCACTCAGATTGACTCACTATCAAGTCTTTGTATGAAGTATTATTCACGTTGAGCAAAGAGAGTAAATGTATTTGTGTTCCAAACATTTTGGTCCAACCAAATTAAAAGATATACACAACCAAATTAATGAAAAACAAATTAGATATACATTACAAAAAGAGTACAAGTCAAGAAGAGACGATTTGTTATGGGTAATGATAATCATGTGGTCGATTTAAAGAGAGCTCTCAGGAAGAAAGAGCAGTGTTGGCTTACTTTTCAAGTCATCGTCTTTCGTCTTTTCCCCCGTGAAACAAAACTCACCAGTCAATATTGCTGAATAGTTTGAGAAATCTATTTGTTTGTTTGTTTGGTTTCTTTGTCATGATACATTTTTTCTTTGTTCGAGTTTGATTTATATGGTTTGTTTTAATTGCGTCGTGATACTAAACATAAGTTAATCTACAAATAAATTATTTTGAAAGCTCTGCAAAACCAACGAGAAGCCAAAGAGAATAAGTACTATCTCTTCTTGGAACTGAGATGAAGTATCGCTTGCTTGCAACACAAGCATCTATTCCTGCATCTATTCCTGTGTCTCTATCTCATTTGTCAAGTAAGTTCAAATGCAAGAGTGGCTGTACAGGGATGCTTGAGTTCCACGCCATACCTAGTTTTGCGAATATAAATGAGAAAGTTCCTTTTTTCACATTATAAATAAAGGAAATATACTATTTATTGATTCAAAAGACAAAAAAACAAACTACTATAGTGCTTATTAATTTGTTTTCCTAGCAAAAATGTGTCCAAAATGGTAATGTTACTTTTATGAGTTGTTATTAGTTCTTGTATTTTAATGAATTTGAGAATCTAAACCAAATTCAGTGTTATTGGTTCTTGTATTTTAAAATCTATATTAAAATACACTGTTATTGGTTCTATAATTTTAAAATTTATAATGAAATACAGTGTTATTGATTCTATCATTTTAAAATCTAAATATTATAAAGATTTGAGTTTTAATTAAATTTGAATGGATTTGAAAGAATTTTCATGATTAAAATACAAAGATTCAAATACAAGGTCTAACCTTAATATTTGAGTAGATTGGATTTTTTTCTATTTTGCTGATTTTGAAATCAATAAATTTATCAAATCCAAAAAAATTTCTAAATCCACCAAAATACAAGAACCAATAATCCCCACTTAGACATTGCAAAATAGACGAAACGTGTAATTCAAAATTTTCCATGCAAATTTGAAGCTTTTGTGTGTGTGTGGTTTCCTATCCAGTTAAACTAATTCTATATTTGCTACCAAAATAATTAATATTAGTAATTTCCTAATCTGTTGACGATGATCCACCATATATGATATCATCTATGAGCATCCAATCACCATTCACTATAACCATTATATGCAACAAACATAGTAAACATAAACATACAGAGAAACTAACTCTATTTTTGCTATATAGTATTTATTCATTTATGGAGGTACAATCGATTGTTCTTGCCTCCTCTGCTTCTCACTTTCACTTTCTTATTCATTGCACCGATCTACACTGTTTATAAATATCCCTGCCAAAACAAAATTCGCAACAAAAACAGCTTCTTGATTTGGAACAAGAAAGATTTATTCAGGTTCAAGAATTGAGATTTGCTTTTACCGATAAACCATATAGCAGCAGCTAAGAACAGAACCGATGTAAGAATCAATGTTGTTTTTCTCCAACTGTTTATATGATCCTGCATATACAACAACAATGGAGCAATCTTGGTTTCTGTTTTCTCTTTTCAAGTATTGGCGATGACAATAAGAGATCTTTTTTTTTACCTGAACGATACCGACAAGAGGAGAAGAAGGAACATCGCCAAATATGTGAATCGCAACGGTAGACATAGCCATTGATAATGGTCTTAGACTTGGTTTCACACAATGTAAACACACATAATTCACAGGAGCCTGAAAGAAGAAGAAGATAAACGAATCTGTTCTTGTTCTTGTTCTTGATGAAGAAACATAACAATATTACAACACTAAGGCTCAAAGTTTTTTTACCTGTGTAGCAAACACAAGAAGCTCAAAGAGAGCGATGAAACCGTATAAACTCTTTAAGGTAAATGCAGTGAAGCAAAAGATTGCTCCAAGAAACGTTGCTCCGGTTAAAAGCTGCATACATACGTTAACACGTATCGATCAAAAGGTTTTTATTCAAAATCCGAAAACAAGAAGAGAGAAAAAAGCTTTTCTTCTTCACCTTAAAAGCATTTGGAATTGTTGCAGTGACTCGATCGAGTATAAACCCTCCTGATAATGTCCCAATGATCCCACAAATGATAGTTACTGCCCCAAAGATCATATCGGCGTTTTTCTGACAAGATAGAACAAAAGTTTGAATCTTTCAAGAACACTCAAGAAGAAAGATTGATAGAAACAAACAAACTGTTTCACCATTTTGTAAATGTTATAACCAGCCTTTGGTCCCCAATATGAGTATGCTACAATAACAAAGTTGTATGATACATAACCTAACACCAAGTTATATCTTCAATTAATGAAGAAGATAAGTAAGAAGAATAGTGACAAGTAAAGAGGACAGAAAACATAATTACCTAAGACAATAACAACAAAGACTTTTTCTTTACAAACTGAGTAAACCATTTCGAAACTGCGTTCTTGTAACTTGACCTGTCACAGTTGAAGTAAAAAGATTTGATAAAACTATTACAAACGTATGGAAGAAAAGTTTTAAGATAATGTAATCAAACTCAACTTGTAAGTTTCAATGGAGACCTCAATCAAGATGATTGTTGTTTTTACCAACTGATGAAGCCATCTTTATCGAATCAGTAGAAGGAAACCCTGTTTCATTTTCTTTTCTCATATCACAATATCTTTAACAGTTTATGCTTTTAATAACACAAGACAGAATCTGTTCTTAACCTTTTAACTGTAGAGGTTTCATCAAGAAACCAAGAACAGCAAATGGAGCCATTAATACAGCTTCTCCCCAAAACGCATAGCGCCAACTAAAATGTTTTCCAACCTAAAAAATCAACAAGAAGGAATCACAACTTTCTTTAATATTATTAGTCTCAACAATACTAATTCATAGAGTTTTATACATACGAATCCGCCATAGACATAGCCCAAAGCAACACCACTTGGTATACACATGTAAAACACACCAAGCCACACAGCTTTCTGAAGAACAAACAAAAAGGGTTAATCAGAAATGGACTCCATGAGATGTGCAAAAAGTTTAAAAGAGAAACCTGTTTGTGAGGAGCATTATCATCTATAAACGGAGCTGCAAGACTGATGAAAGAAGCTTCACCTACACCAACGAACCTATCGAGTATTGATAATAATCATAATAATAATACTCAAATCAAAATTTTGGAGAAGGCAAAGTCAAATCATAAACATGAACAAAACTAACTTACATGCGACATAAGACGATAAATTAAAAGGCAAAGGAACTGCCACAACCAAGAACTGCAATAGTCCAAACAGTTAAGCCTACTCCAATAAGTATAAATGGATTGAAACTGCACTAAAAACAATAAACAACTTCAATAATCTGTATTTTGTTTAGCCATTAGAAGGAAAAACTGAAAAATGTTTCCTAACCTTTTTGCTAATGAAGCAAAGATTGGTGATGCAATAAGAAGTCCAACCATAAATGAAGATGACAACACACCATCTTCGAAATTACTTCGATTGAAATGTCTAAGTAAAGCTTTAGGCCTTAAACAACAAATTTGAGGAAGCAACAAATTTGAGTAAATATTAAAGCTTTAGGCCTTAAACAACCAAACTCTTACTGAATTCCAGTTGCAGGGTTGCATTTGCCCTTATCATTACAAGTCCTGATATTGTCATTGACACCATTACTCGCTATAGCACCACGATCCATGTAGTTTAACAAGTTGATGATGCAGAAGATCACAATTAACCTGAAGAAAAAAAAAGAGTTTTGAAGAAGATACGGATGAAGCAAAGAAATCAGAGTTATGTGTCAAAGACCAAACCAGTATCTTTAGCATATAAATTGGAATGCAAAAGAGATGATAACACACAATCACAAATGAGATTCAGAGTCTTAAACAGAAGAACAAAGAAAAATCATGGGAAAAGCTTTCAACTTTGCACCGTTTTATTGGTATTCGAAGCGTGAAGGGAGATGTCAAAATTCGTACATTCATGGCTGGAAGAGAGGAAAAGTGAAGAGTAAAGCAATGATTAATGTACCAAATGGGAGACAGAAAGGAAGATGATGTCTAAATTAATCTAATCGAATTACAGTATATTTCTTTGAGGTCTAGATATATGTTTAAACTAATTATAACGTCGAGTATGCCTTGTTTGTTTTCCTTTGCCCCTAGTTTTGGTGTCTATCAAGTTCTTTCATCTAACAAATTTTATTTTTAATGAGATAATAATCTCCAAAGACTAAACAATAACATAAAAATTTACACATTGATAACTTTTTTTTAAAGACAAATTTTATTAATTGAAACCTGAAACAAGACAATAACCGTCGTATCTTCTCCATCTAGAACCGTTGTTGTATCTTCTTCATCAGAAAAGTCAAGAGCTAAGAACCTATTCTTATTCAAAGATGAGGTAGACAGAGACTTCGGAACAGCATGAGCCGCTCTACCAGATAAATGAAGTAGTCGTATTAGGAAGAGGGGTTGTAGAGTGAATACCTGAGGCCGTATGAACCATAGTGCTAGAAACATGAATCAGATCGTTTCCGATTTCCTTCTCCCTCTTTTCTAAAGATGTTTCCATAACTTAAAGCAGACGAAGCATGGCATTTCTTTGACCTTTGCAGCAGGAGTACCTGCTTGGCCTGAGATATTCGGACATCAGAGGAGACAGCGAGAAGCTTTGTGACCTATATGTCCACAACGACTACAATTTTAAGGTACAGAGATCATATCTAAAGGTGACCAAGGAGATACAAACATCAAGCACTAGTCGTCAACATGCCACAAACCTCTCGACGGACCCATTTACGGGTTGACTCGTGTGGAATGTGGAATAGGTACGTTGACTCTCCTAATTTTCGAATGAAGATTCTGTATTTCCTTCCCCAAATCCTAGTTACTATCGACTGAATAAACCCTCTAGAAGGTAAAATTGACCTACCACAAATTCTAAACCACCTAGAAGAACATGAGAAGGTATTCTAACCTCTATGAAGATTCCTCAGAGATTGGTTCATCCTTGCTGCCCAAGGATACTCTTTGGAGTGAGCTTTAAGTGAAGCAGCTTCAGCTTCAGAGCAGTGAGGGGTTGTTAACTTCTGAGCCAAAGCCATTGGGAATTTTCAGAGTTCAACAAAGGACCTTCTGCAAGATGATGAAGAGGAGCAGAATAAATCGCAAGAGGCTTCTCCCTTGCTCCCTTGGAGATTGGCAGGAGTAAAGCTTTTCGATTGGAGGTCTCAGGAACAAAAGGTGGCTTTTCTCTTGGATATGAATAATTACCGTTTCACAGAGATGGGGACACTTTCGATAGCGTGAGACTGTGCGGCCGGAAGGGAGCAGTTGTCATGACGCAGAATTGTAGCCATGACTGAAGCGGAATCAGAGGTGCCATCGATTTGCCTTGCAGCTTGCGAGAGAATCTGGGCTTCACCAGACAGAGCATCGATGCAGATGAGGCCAACTAAGTTGCTTTGCCTGAAAGAGTCGATGGTAAGAGGGTCGCTGATTTTGAGGGGGTCGAATCCAATCTCCTCTCCGATGAAGGTGTTGAGAAGTAAACTTGATTTTGGATCAAGCTTAAATATTGGGTTAATGATCCAATAATAATTGGGCCAAAACCCAATTATGCTTAATCAAAGATTCTAGAGTTTTCTCTAGAAAAATCAATACTTCTACCTCCTTAAAATGTTCAAGAGAGTTGTAGAAAATAAATATCTAGAGATTTCTCTAGATAATTGTTGTAAAATAATCTAGATATTAAGATAGAATTCTCTAGATTTAGGAATAAAAGATTTTAGATATTTTGTACTTTGGAGTCTATAAATAGCTACCTCCTCTCTCATTTTGTAACTAACAAGCTAAAAGAAATAATAAGAGAAGTTAAGTAAAGTTCCTAAGCTTTCTAAGTTCTAAAACTTTCTTCTTCTTAAATTTGTTCCTTTGTCTTTCAAATTCTTAAACACCTTCTCCATCACTTTTAAAAGTTTTTACTTTCCAACAAAGTGGTATCAGAGCTAGAAGATTCTCTTAAAGATGGCAAGTAATGGTGTTCCCTTCCAAGTTCCAATGCTCACTAAGAGCAACTACGACAACTGGAGTCTAAGAATGGTGGCCATTCTAGGAGCACATGACGTGTGGGAGATTGTCCAAAAAGGCTACATTGAACCGGAGAATGAAGGTAGTCTTTCTCAAACTCAAAAGAACAGTTTGAGAGACTCAAGGAAGAGAGACAAGAAGGCTCTCTGTCTCATCTATCAAGGATTAGATGAAGACACATTCGAGAAGGTTGTCTGAGCAAAGATGGCCAAAGAAGCATGAAAGAAGCTTCGAACTTCTTACAAGGGAGCAGAGCAAGTCAAGAAGGTACGTCTTCAAACTCTAAGAGGAGAATTTGAAGCATTACAAATGAAGAAAGGTGAACTTGTCCAAAATTACTTCTCAAGAGTTATAGCGGTTACTAATAACCTAAAGAGGAATGGGGAGAAGCTAGATGAAGTAAGAATCATGGAGAAGGTTTTTAGATCGTTGGATTCAAAATTTGAGCATATTGTCACTGTCATTGAAGAGACGAAAGATTTGGAGGATATGACAATGGAGCAACTACTAGGATCACTACAAGCCTATGAAGAAAAGAAGAAGAAGAAGGAAGATCTTGCAGAACAAGTACTCAAGATGCAAATTGATCAAACCAAAGATGGAAGCGGCCGAAGTCATCCAAGAAGAGGTGGCGGTCAAGGACGAGGAAGAGGTTATGGCTATGGAAATGGACGTGGCTGGAGGTCCTATGAAGACAAGACTAACCAAAGAGGAGAAAGCTCATCAAGAGGACGTGGGAGAGGAACTCCAAAATCAAGGTACGACAAATCAAACGTCAAATGCTATAATTGTGGGAAGTTTGGCCATTATGCTTCAGAATGCAAAGCTCCAAACAACAATAGAGTTGAAGAGAAGTTCAACTATGCTGAAGAAAGAATCCAAGAAGAAGATATGCTATTAATGGCATACAAGAAGGATGAAAGAGATGAGTTCCACAAGTAGTACCTTGACAGCGGTGCAAGCAATCACATGTGCGGGAAAAGAAGCATGTTCGTGGAGCTCGATGAATCAGTGAAAGGAGACGTGGCCTTAGGAGATGAATCAAAGATGGAGGTGAAAGGTAAAGGAAAAATTCTCATCCGAATGAAGAATGGAGATCATCAATTCATCTCCAACGTTTACTATATTCCAAGTATGAAGACCAACATCTTGAGCCTTGGACAACTTTTAGAGAAAGGTTATGGTATTCGACTAAAGGATAATAGCCTTTCTATAAGAGATCAAACTAACAATCTCATCACCAAGGTGCCGATGTCGAAGAATAGAATGTTTGTTCTTAACATTCAAAATGACATCGCAAAATGTCTCAAAATGTGCTACAAGGAGGAGTCTTGGCTTTGGCATCTTCGTTATGGACATCTCAACTTTGGAGGCTTGGAGCTACTCTCTAAGAAAGAAATGGTGAGAGGATTGCCCTATATCAATCATCCAAATCAGGTGTGTGATGGGTGCCTACTTGGAAAGCAATTCAAAATGAGCTTTCCAAAGGAGTCAGAGACAAGAGCACAGAAGCCATTGGAGCTCATACATACAGATGTTTGTGGCCCAATTAAACCAAGATCACTCAGTAAGAGTAACTACTTCCTTCTCTTTATTGATGACTTTTCAAGAAAAACATGGGTTTACTTTTTGAAAGAAAAATCAGAAGTATTTGAGAACTTCAAAAAGTTTAAAGCCCATGTTGAGAAGGAAAGTGGCCTTGTGATCAAAGCTATGAGATCTGATCGAGGAGGAGAGTTCATGTCCAAAGAGTTTCTGAAGTATTGTGAAGACAATGGCATTAGGAGACAATTGACGGTGCCAAGATCCCCTCAACAGAATGGAGTAGCAGAAAGGAAGAACAGAATAATTCTTGAGATGGCGAGAAGCATGCTCAAAAGTAAGAAGCTACCAAAGGAGTTTTGGGCAGAAGCAGTTGCATGTGCGGTCTATCTGTCAAACAGATCCCCAACAAGAAGTGTTTGGGAGAAAACACCACAAGAAGCTTGGAGTGGAAGAAAGCCCGGTGTTTCACATCTAAGAGTCTTTGGAAGCCTTGCCCACGCTCATGTACCTGATGAGAAACGAAGCAAGCTAGATGACAAAAGTGAGAAGTACATCTTCATTGGGTACGATGCAAACTCCAAAGACTACAAGCTCTACAATCCTGATACAAAGAAGACAATCATCAGTCAGAATGTCATCTTTGATGAAGAAGGAGAATGGGATTGGAGATCAAATGATGAGAACTACAACTTCTTTCCACATATTGAAGAAGATGATTTGGAGCAGCCAAGAGAGGAACCAATTACCCCACCAACCTCACCAACACCAAGTTCTCAAGGAGATGAGAGTTCGAGTGAAAGGACTCCATGTTTTAGAAGTCTGCAAGAGCTTTACGAGGTAACCAAAAATCAAGAAAACCTTACCCTATTTTGCCTGTTTGCGGATTGTGAACCCATGAACTTCCAAGAAGCAATGGAGAAGAAGACATGGAGAAACGCAATGGATGAAGAGATCAAGTCAATACAGAAGAATGAGACATGGGAGTTAGCTTCACTTCCAAATGGGCATAAGGCGATTGGTGTACAAAGCGAAGAAGAACTCCAAAGGAGAAGTTGAAAGATACAAGGCAAGATTGGTGGCAAAGGGCTATAGTCAAAGAGCTGGAATCGACTATGACGAGGTATTTGCTCATGTTGCTCGATTAGAAACAGTTAGACTAATCATTTCATTAGCAGCCCAAAAGAGGTGGAGGATACATCAAATGGATGTCAAATCAGCCTTCCTAAATGGAGATCTTGAGGAAGAAGTCTACATTGAGCAACCACAAGGCTACATAGTTAAAGGAGAAGAAAACAAAGTCTTGAGGTTAAAGAAGGCGCTCTATGGATTGAAACAAGCACCAAGAGCTTGGAACACTCGTATTGATAAGTATTTCAAGGAGAAAAGCTTCATCAAGTGTCCATATGAGCATGCACTATATATCAAAACACAGAAAAATGATATATTGATTGCATGCTTATATGTAGATGACTTGATATTCACAAGCAGCAATCCAAGTATGTTCGAGGAATTCAAGAAGGAGATGACGAAGGAGATGACGAAGGAGTTCGAGATGACCGATATTGGATTGATGTCTTACTACCTTGGAATTGAAGTGAAACAAGAAGACAATGGAATCGTCATCACTCAAGAAGGTTATGCTAAAGAAGTGCTGAAGAAGTTCAAGATGGATGACTCGAATCCAGTTTGTACTCCAATGGAATGTGGAGCCAAGTTATCAAAGCATGATGAAGGAGAGAGTGTGGATCCAACACTCTTTAAGAGTTTGGTTGGGAGTCTACGTTACTTAACATGCACAAGGCCTGATATCTTACATGCAGTTGGAGTTGTGAGCCGATACATGGAGCATCCAACAACCACTCACTTCAAGGCAGCTAAGAGGATCCTTCGCTATATCAAAGGTACGATAAACTTTGGCTTGTATTACTCTATTTCTGATGATTACAAGCTTGTTGGATATAGCGATAGCGACTGGGGAGGAGACGTAGATGATCGGAAAAGCACAAGTGGTTTTGTGTTTTTCATTGGAGAAACAGCTTTCACATAGATGTCGAAGAAGCAACTGATTGTCACTCTTTCCACTTGTGAAGCGGAGTATGTAGCGGCTACTTCATGTGTTTTTCATGCTATTTGGTTACGAAACTTATTAAAGGAGTTGAGTTTGCCACAAGAGGAGCCGACGAAGATCTTTGTGGACAACAAGTCAGCAATAGTTTTGGCAAAGAATCCCGTCTTCCATGATCGAAGTAAGCACATCGACACTCGCTATCATTACATTAGAGAATGTGTCACCAAGATGGATGTGCAGTTGGAGTACGTGAAGACTAACGATCAAGTAGCCGACATCTTTACCAAGCCACTCAAGCGTGAAGCTTTTATCAAGATGAGGAGTTTGCTTGGAGTAGCAAAATCAAGTTTAAGAGGGGGTGTTGAGAAGTAAACTTGATTTTGGATCAAGCTTAAATATTGGGTTAATGATCCAATAATAATTGGGCCAAAACCCAATTATGCTTAATCAAAGATTCTAGAGTTTTCTCTAGAAAAATCAACACTTCCACCTCCTTAAAATATTCTAGAGAGTTGTAGAAAATAAATATCTAGAGATTTCTCTAGATAATTGTTGTAAAATAATCTAGATATTAAGATAGAATTCTCTAGATTTAGGAATAAAAGATTTTAGATATTTTGTACTTTGGAGGCTATAAATAGCTACCTCCTCTCTCATTTTGTAACTAACAAGCTAAAAGAAATAATAAGGGAAGTTAAGTGAAGTTCCTAAGCTCTCTAAGTTCTAAAACTTTCTTCTTCTTAAATTTGTTCCTTTGTCTTTCAAATTCTTAAACACCTTCTCCATCACTTTTAAAAGTTCTTACTTTCCAACAGAAGGCATGAGAAAATCGTAGTCATTTGCTGAGATTTCACCGGAAGACATGGGGCAAATGGATTTCAGAAAGAATAAGGGAGAACTTAGAGAGGAGAGGAGTGTAAGGAAACGTAAGAGCTTGGTAAAACTGTATATTGCATTATGATGAAGGCACAAGCCTTATATACACGTTACAAGATCTAGAGATAAACACAGAATATACTCTCACACTTATCTAATATATCGATCAATCATTATCACTACATACGAAGACTTATCCTTTCCTAACACTCCCCTTCAAGTTGGAGTGTGTAGAGCACAAACACCCAACTTGGATAACAAGTAATCGAAACTGGATCGACTCAACGCCTTAGTGAGCACATCTGCAACTTGCTCTGTGGTACTGACATACTTTGTAGCTATTAATCAATCCTGTACCGCATCCCGGACACTATGGCAGTCGGCTTCAATATGCTTCGTCCTCTCATGAAAAACTGGATTTGCTGCTATATGCATTGCCGACTTACTATCACAAAACATATCCATAGGACCGGCTTGAGGAACCCCCAAGTCCACCAGCAACCTTTTCATCCACTTAAGCTCTCGTAAGGTTTCTGCCATAGCTCTGTATTCGGCTTCAGCTGAAGAATGCGACACGGTATCTTGCTTCTTAGTCTTCCACGCGACAGGGGAACCACCAAGATGTATAACATATGCGGACAATGAACGCCGTGTGCAGGGACATGAAGCCCAATCATAATCACTGTATGCTTGAACTCTCAAGTGTCCGTCCGCGCGTAACAGAATACCCTGGCCCGGTGTCCCTTTAATATATCGAACCACACGAACCACTGCATCCCAATGTGCATTGCGTGGCTCATGCATTACCTGAGAAAGAACATGAACAGCGTAACACAACTGGGGTCGCGTGATTGTCAAATAAACTAAACGACCAACAAGTCTTCGAAACCTCACTGGATCACTATACAGAGGACCATTATCCGATAGGAGTTTGTGATTCTGTTCCACCGGGATAGACAGAGGTTGACAACCAAGTAAACCAGAATCTGCAATGATATCTAAAGCATACTTGCGTTGTGATAGAAAAATCCCTTCTTTCCCTCTTGCGACTTCAATTCCAAGGAAATATTTAGCTTTACCAATGTCCTTCATCTTAAAACACTTGCTTAAATAGGCCTTGAATTTCACCAACATCGCTAAATCATTGCAACATAGAATCAGATCATCTACATAGACAAGAACCCGTAAGCTCACATCTCCTTTTATGTAAGTGAAGAGTGAGTAATCAGAATAGGATTGCACAAATCCAAACTGCAACAAGGTGTGGCTTAACTTCGAAAACCAACACCTTGGAGCCTGCTTTAAGCCATAGAGAGACTTACGTAACCTGCAGACTTTTGAGGAATCGCCACCCTTAAACCCAGGTGGTAACTTCATGTACACTTCTTCTTCTAAATCACCATGAAGAAATGCATTGTGCACATCCATTTGATGTACTTCCCATCCTTTGACTGCGACAATCTTAAACAAAGTTCGAACGGTATCCAGTTTTGCTACCGGAGCGAAAGTTTCATCATAGTCTTCCCCTTCTATTTGACGATTTCCACAAACCACCAGACGTGCTTTATAACGTTCGACTGTCCCATCTGCATTATATTTGAGTTTATAGACCCATTTATTTGCAAGAGCAGTCTTTCCCGGTGGCAAATCCTCTATATCCCATGTACGTGCGACTTCAAGTGAGGTAATCTCGGTAGCCATTGCTTGTCTCCATCGTTCATCTTCCATCGCTTCACGGAAGCTTTTGGGCTCTACTCCAGCCGTAACAGCTGCCAAGAAGACACTGTGATAGGCAGAGAATATATCATTCGAGAGATAGTGTTCGATGGGATACAATTTGTTACCTGGAACCGTTACGGAGGACAATGATCGAGCACCAGTGAGAGCGGAGGGAGTATGTTTATCGGGGATTTTGTAAGCGACAAAGTCTTTAAGCTTGACAGATGTAAGTTTTTGACGTTGCCCTCTTCCCAACTCTCCTGATTTCTCGTGAATCTCCTCTGCGTCTCTGTCATCAGAATTTTGTTCTGCAGTACTTACATCAAGATTCTGTTCTGCAGGATGAACAAAATCACACTCTTGGTGTTCTGCAGGCTCATGTTCGTCAACAACTTGTATCTCATCACTTTCGTTGCCACTGGCGCCGCTGTTGCGAGATAAACCCTGACTAATACTCCCCTTGAATTGGAACGAGTTAACTACTGGAGGAGTGGCAATTGGATTGGAACTTTGCAGAGAGTCTGTAACAACCGGATTATCTGCATATGGGAAGGAAGTTTCATCGAAGACTACGTCACGTGATATGAATAACTTATCACGCTCAATATCATAGAGTTTCCAGCCCTTTTTCCCGTATGGATATCCGATAAAGATACATTTCCTACTCCTTTCTCCAAATTTATCTTTGTCTCTAGAGTAGCGATGTGCAAAGCACAAACAGCCAAACGTTTTGAGCGAATTGTATGTTGGGGGTTCACCGTAGAGACACTCATATGGTGTTCGTCCCTGCAAGATGCTCGATGGTGTACGATTGATCACATGTGCAGCAGCTAACACACTCTCCCCCCAGAACTTGGTTGGCAGATTAGCTTGAAACAGCAGCGACCGCGAGACATTGAGGATATGCCGATGTTTTCTTTCTACCCTTCCATTCTGCTGCGGTGTTGCTACACAGGAGGTCTGATGCACTATCCCATTCATATTAAAGTATTTTGTAAGACATAGAAACTCTGTTCCATTGTTAGAGCGAATAACCTTGACCAATTTTCCAAATTGGCGATGAATCATAGCACAGAAGTTTGGCAAGATTGTTTTTACTTCACTCTTCTCAAGTAGCAAATATATCCATACCGCTCTAGAGAAGTCATCTACGATTGTTAAGAAGTAAGTAGCACCACAAGACGAGGGAATTCGATATGGTCCCCAGAGATCGCAATGTATTAAACCAAAACATGCAGAAGCTTTATTATAACTTTCATGGAAAATCTCTCGAGTTTGCTTAGACTTAAAACACACTTCACAACCGCCAAACTTGTCGGGGATGTGTTTAACACCAGAAATAAAAGGCAAAAATTCCAAAACACCAAATGCAGGATGCCCTAATCGCCTATGCCACAGCGTTTGATCTTCAGCTGCTTTGACCCTATGACTTCGGACGACAGTCACATCCTGATAAACATATACTCCATTTCGTTCTTCACCGGCTCCAATTAGGGTCCTCGTAAAACGGTCCTGCAACACACACAGTGTATCAGTGAACATGGCAAAGCAACCTGTTTGTTTTAGCAAATTTGCAACAGAGAGCAGTGTGCACTTCAAATTTGGGACGAAGAGAACATTCTCTAAGACTAAGGTCTTTGACAACAACAAGCAACCACATTTTGTTGCGTAGACAATACTCCCATCTGCAAACGATACAGGCCGCGGTGGGATGTTCTTTAACGAGCTAAGAACAACAACATTTTCGGTCATATGGTGAGATGCTCCTGTATCAAGTATGACTTCACCTGTCTGGACCTTACCATTCAATCGATCTGGTACAGGAGCTGGTTTCTGTTGTTCCAGCAACTGAGTTAACGAGGCCCACTGCTCGGGTGTGAAGTTTGGAAACGCTCCAGGCTGAGAAGGTGACGACGCCTGAGCGGCATTAGAACGATACTGCTGCTGTGGCTGCTAAGAGGAGCCTCCCCTTCCACGATTGCTGCTGGATGAGCCTCCTCGGCCTCTTGAATTTGATCCTCCTCTGCCACCTCGATCACCCGAAACATAGCTTTGGTTCTTCTCTGTCCACCACTCCGGTAAAAGAAACCGGCGGCGGAGCCGCCAAGAGAGCCAAAGGAGGAAAAATTTTAGGGTTGTCTCGATAAATGGGCCTAGGAGCGTTTTTTGTTTTACTCTTCTGTGTGGTATTTTTTGCAATCTATGCTCTCTCTCTCTCTCTCTCTCTAAATCTGTTTCTTGCTTGATTGCAAATTTGATTATATAATCGATCAATTCCTCCGCGTTTATGTTTGAATGATTAACATATAGAGATATTGCCCATTTGCGCGATGACCGAAGACTCCACCGTTCATCTACAAGGCTAAAATGATTTACCCGAAGTGGCTCACGCGAATCCCTCCAAAGGGATGCGGCTGCACGTAGCGATGCACGTAGAGATACCTTACAACTACGATGGGAACATAGTTTACCCAAAGAGCTTGCTCTACGAGTGTGGCCCTCTCTGCAAATGCCCTTCTGCTTGCTACCTAAGAGTCACGCAGCGAGGGATCAGGTTCAAGCTCGAGATCTTCAAAACCGAGTCCAGAGGCTGGGGAGTGAGGTCTCTCAGCTCGATACCTTCGGGTAACTTCATATGCGAGTACGTCGTCGAGCTTTTGGAGGATAAAGAAGCTGAGAGAAGGACAGGGAACGACGAGTATCTCTTTGACATTGGGAACAAATACGACAACTCTTTAGCTGAAGGGATGTCGAAGCTAATGCCAGGGATGGAGAAAGAGAAAGAAGAAGAAGATGGCGGCGATGGTGGTGAGACGACGGGGTTCACCGTCGCGAAGAAAGGGAACATCGGGAGGTTTATAAACCATAGCTGCTCGCCGAATCTGTATGCGCAGAACGTGTTGTATGATCATGAAGACAAGAGGATCCCTCACGTGATGCTCTGTGCCATGGACAATATACCTCCGCTTCAAGAACTACAATTACATGATCGATCAAGAAGAAGATTTGCTACTGTGGTTCTTCTGAGTGTACCGGTAGGCTCTATTAATCGACTACCCTCAAACTTCTTCTCCCCTGTTTTAAACTCAGATTCTTCTTGTTTTATGTTATTCATCAACAGTTTATGTTATACCGTAGAATCTATATAAAATAATATACCATATAGTAGCAGCTAAGAACAGAACCGATGTAAGAATCAATGCTGTTTTTCTCCAACTGTTGATATGATCCTGCATATACAACAACAATGGAGCATTTTGGTTTCTGTTTTCTCTCTTTTCAAGTATTGGCGATGACAAGAAGAGATCTTTTTTTACCTGAACGATACCGACAAGAGGAGAAGAAGGAACATCGCCAAATATGTGAATCGCAACTGTAGAGATAGCCATTGATAATGGTCTTAAACTTGGTTTCACACAATGCAAACACACATAGTTCACAGGAGCCTGAAGAAGAAGAAGAAGAAGATAAGACAAATCTGTTCTTGTTATTGATGAAGAAACATAACGATATTACAACAACACAAAGGCTCAAAGTTTTTACCTGTGTAGCAAACACAAGAAGCTCTCCTAAGGCAAAGAGAACGATGAAACCGAATAAACTCTTTAAGGTAAATGCAGTGAAGCAAAAGATCGCTCCAAGAAACGTTGCTTTGGATAAAAGCTGCATACATACGTATTGATCAAAAAGGTTTTGATTCAAAATCCGAAAGCAAGAGGAGAGAAAAAAGCTTTTCTTCTTTCCACCTTGAAAGCATTTGGAATTGTTGCGGTGACACGATCGAGTATAAACCCTCCTGATAATGTCCCAATGATCCCACAAATGATAGTTACTGCCCCAAAGATCATATCAGCGTTTTTCTGACAAGATAGAACAAAAGTTTGAATCTTTCAAGAACTCTCAAGAAGGAAGATTGATAGAAACAAACAAACTGTTTCACCATTTTGTAAATGTTGTAACCAGCCTTTGGTCCCCAATATGAGTATGCTCCAATAACAAAGTTGTATGATACATAACCTGTTAAGAGTTAAGACCAAGTTATATCAATCAATGAAGAAGATAAAGAAGAATAGTGAAAAGCAAAGAGGATAAAAAAATTATTACCCAAGACATTAACAACAAAGATCTTTTCTTTACATAGAACTTTCATATCTTTTGCAAACTGAGTAAACGATTTCGAAACTGCGTTCTTGTAACTTAACCTGTCACAAGTTGAAGTAAAAAAATTTGATAAAACAAATACAAAACGTATGGAAGAAAAGCTTTAAGATAATTGAAATCAAACTCAACTTGTAAGTTTCAATGGAGACCTCAATCTCATTACCACCAGCTTGAAGATGATTGTTGTTTTTACCAATCCATGAAGCCATCTTTATCGAATCAGTAGAAGGAAACCCTGTTTCATTTTCTTTTCTCAGATCACAATATCTTTAACAGTTTATGATTTTAATAACACAAGAGAGAATCTGTACTTCACCTTTTAACTGCATAGGTTTCATCAAGAAACCAAGAACAGCAAATGGAGCCATTAATACAGCTTCTCCCCACAACGCATAGCGCCAACAAAATGTTTTCCAACCTGAAAATCACAAATTTTGAACCTTTAAGACAACTTTCTATAAACTAATGTCATAGTCCCAACAATATACGTAGAAGGGAAGGCAAGAGCGCTAGTTGAGGTCTTGAGTGAATCAACGTACTCCGTCGCTATAGCTCAATTACATCGACCCTCGCTTCGCTCTGTCTTAACTGGGCCATGAAGAAACTCACTATCGGCTCTGCCATAGACATAGCCCAAAGCAACACCACTTGGTATACACATGTAAAACACACCAAGCCACACAGCTTTCTGAAGAACAAGCAAAAGAGTTAATCAGAAATGGACTCCATGAGATGTGCAAAAGGTTAAAAGAGAAACCTGTTTGTGAGGAGCATTATCATCTATAAACGGAGCTGCAAGACTGATGAAAGAAGCTTCACCTACACCAACGAACCTATCGAGTAATAATAGTCATACAAATCAAAATTTGGAGCAGGCAAAGTCAAAATCATAAACAAGAACAAAACTTAACTTACATGCGACATAAGACGATAAACCAAAAGGAAAAGGAACTTCCACAACAAAGAACTGCAATAGTCCAAACAGTTAAGCCTACTCCAATGAGTCTAAATGGATTGAAACTGCACTAGAAACGGAAAATGGGCTTTTTCATACCTCAACAATAGATTTAAGTTCAAATTATACCTCAACTCATTAGTCGGTCTATTACATACACGAACTGTTTTTTATTGACTCTATACATACATCAACTTACAAAAACGGTCTAAATTAAACATTTTCATTAACACTGTTAATTTTCTGTTTACTGTTTATGACATGGAAGCTTAGGTGGATAATACAAGTTTTTGAAAATTAAACACGACTCAGTACGATATCGTTTTGTCTCATAAGTAAATTAATGAGATAAAACTACTATCGTTTCTTTTTTTCTCTTCTTCTTTTAGGTTCCCTGTCTAAAAAAGGAGAAGAATTGCAGGGTTTCCACAAAAAAATTTGCAGTGTACAAATCGATTCCTCAATTCGCACTCTCTTCACCAACAATCCAATATTTTAATTCAAGTTTGTGATTATGACTACATAATTTTCGATTGTGAGATTTCGAGTCTCAGGTACAAAACTGAGATGGTAGTTTATAGAAGGAATTAAGAGTTTGTAAATCAGAGATTGGTACACTAGAAGGTGAGACACGCACCTGTGCAGTTGTAAACAGCTATGATAGAGCCATTGAAGCCACCAAAACAAGTGTACATGGGTGTGAAAAGGAGAGAGAATAGATGAAATTTATGGTAACTCGTTGGGAGCAAAGTGTAGAAGATTATGTAGAAGAAATACGAAACCTGGAAATGTTAGTTTGCTCATGATTGTACTCTACTTTGTCTTTGCATAATGGAGAGTGTATGGATTTATTGGTAAGAGTTTGTTCCAAGATTGTCATATAAAGAGTATATCATGAAGAGAACGATCATGTAAACGTACGATTTAGCAAGTCATCGATTAAATAGTCTATTATGAAAGAATTCAAACAAAACAAAAAACTGACCAATACTTTAAATCAACAAAACCAGAGAAAAGGTCATAGTCATAGACTTAGCATATAAAATCCTAAAAAACATACTTAACATCTAAAACGCAAGACACCAAAATCCAACACTTTCCAAAAACCACCACCGTCCAATGGCCTTCACTGTCCAAAGCAATCACTATCTGAAAAACATAGAGCCTATATAATGATGACAAAATAGAAAGATCACAATTGTGCTTTTCATGATCGAATGCTAAATAAAAAACAATCACTAACCTTCAAATCAAATTTGTGATTGTTGGCTTGACCCTTCTCCTTGAGAGAGAGACACACACTCAGTTTCCTCTTGATTCTTTGCTTTTTTTGGTTTCCTAAAAACCGACGCACCATCATTAGGACATCCCATTGCATTATGACCCATAAAACCACAATGTCCACACTGAACTACCCTTCTTTCCCTGCTTAATTTTGTCTTTTTTTTTAGGAGACTCTTCAACGCCTTTGACTTTCAACTTCTTCTTCCTTTTTGGAGATTCATTTTTGCCCTTTATCCGCTTCTGCTTTTTTTCGGGACCTTGAGTTACTTGCCTTTCAGGCACTTTAATCCTAGCTTCAGTAGATCTTCCCCAAAAACGCATCCCCACCACTGGTGTGATAGAGTCACTATATATACTCCTCCATTTAGATGTCAAATACCAGTCTGAAACATAATCCTCAGCTTTCCACTTCATTAGCAATACCACACGAAGAGCATGACGACATGGAATCCCTGTCATATCAAACTTCCTACAAGTACATGTCCTTTTTGTCATATGAACCCTATGGCCAACACCATTTTCGTTTACCTCAAACGATCCATTAGGTCCAGCAATTGCCCTACAATTTTTTCTCTCTTTCTCCTCTGCTGCAATCATTTCTGCCACTTTCAGACTATACTTGCCTGTGTGGTCCTTAGCCTTCTTCTTTTGTATATCAATGCGCACCATAGCTTGTCTACGAATGGTCTCAAGCATCTCCACTAATGGTATCTCTCTTGCTTTATTTATTGTGTTGTTGTAGGACTCTGCAAAATTGTTGTGAACATCTTCACAACATGACGTGGTTGTGAAGAAAGCACGGCTGCAATTTTGAGGATTCTTCTTCATCATTGCTTCATACACACCAATGTCGTATTTCTTCACTTCTTCTATGGCAGAATCATACTCAGCGACTGTGTAACTCTTTGCAACTTTCCAAAAGAGCTTCTTCATCATGGCCCTACCTGGATAAAGTCTTGCAAGGTTCCCATAAATATGGCGTGCACACATCCGATGTTCTACCTTAGGCAACTCTTGATCAACAGCAATAAGCAATCCCTGTTAAGAAAAATTTAGAATGTTAGTAATAAGTAAATATAATTAAGCAAACAGCGATAAACAAACTTACCTTTTGTCTATCTGATATAAGAGTGAATCCCTCTCCAGTAGTAATACCCAAATCGATTTTAAGATTTTTAATGAACCATAACCAACTATCTGTATTTTCCACTTGAACAATCCCCCCAAGCAACTGGATAGAATTGATTATTTGCATCTCTACCAATCACTCCCAACAACTGCCCTTTCACATTGTTTTTTAAAAAACAACCATCAATACCAATGATAGGTCGACAGTGAGCACGCCATATGTCTCTGAGTGCTTTAAAACAGACATAGAAACGGTCAAATAACACTAATCCTCCATCTCCGGTAACTGTCCCAAGCTCCACAGTCGATTCAGGATTAGAACTACAACAAATAAATGATTACTTGGAGTATAATCTCAGAAATAACTCATAAATCTCATATATAACTCACTACTTACTGTAACAGCTCGTTCGTGTAGTCTCTTAACCTTGCAAATTGTTCATTATGCTCTTCTTGAAGCATATTCAATGCTTTAGCCTTTGCTTTCCTACACTGATTATGTGAGGCAGCCAAATCATATCTCTCTTCAAGCTGATCTTGCATAAGTTGTGGCTTCATATTAGGATCCCTTCTAATAGCATTCAAGAACAATTTAGCAATGATCCAGACAGAGGATTCTTTGATGGAGAGTTTGCCGACCATCGATGCAGATGAGGCCAACGCGGATCTTGAGAAGATTCCGAAACTAAGGACTTGAGTGTTGATGGTACGAGGATCTTTGTGGGGGTCGAATCCAATCTCCTCTCCGATGAAGGCATGAGAAAACCGTAGTCATTTGCTGAGATTTCACCGGAAGACATGGGCCAAATGTATTTCAGAAAGAATAAGGGAGAACTAAGAGAGGAGAGGAGAGAATCCACCGGTAAAAGAAACCGGCGGTAGAAACCAGCGGCGGAGCCGCCAAGAGAGTCAAAGGAGAAAAATTGTAAGGAGCCTGAGACGTTTTTCGGATCAAAATCTCGGATGACTTTCCTCCGTCTAGGTTGAATTGCTAAAATAACTTCTCTATATTATAATTTAATTTAAGTTTTTTTTAATAAGTTAAAATAACGAAATTACTATATTGTTTTTCTCCAAATTCTTCAAATTTACGACACTTTTTTCTTTTTCTTTTTCCTTTTGATTTTAACATCTTTCAAATCCTAATTTAATCTTTTCTATCAAAGATCCCACTAAAACCGAAATTCACAAGTTTATCAGTTCAAATTTCCAACCAGTTCAGCTAATTCTGATTTGCCGATTTCATGGTGCCTCGTATGAAAAGAAAAAAGGGAAGTTCGGTTGAGAATGTCCACACCCTCACCATATCCTCCACCGCCGCCGCCGTCGAGTTCAAACCAGCTTCACCAAGTTGCAAACGGTTTCACCGTTGCAACTTTCATTGTCACAGCCTGCATCGGTAAACCCTAAATTTTGTGGAACCATAGTTACTATAACTAGATCCAACTAGTCAGACTAGTATTAATAGTTCAAAGTAGTCTGACTAGTATGCGTAGTTCAACTAGTTTAACCAGAACAGTTAGTATAACTAGTTGCAGAGCTTGCAGAGAAAGACATTGCTGAAGAGGAGGCTATTGCTGCAGAGAAAGACATTGCTAAAGAGGAAGCTATTGCTGCAGAGAAGGCGATTGCAGAGCTTGCAGAAAAGGCAATTGCAGATGTTATTTTTGGTAATGGTAAGAGGGTCGCTGATTTTGAGGGGTCGAATCCAATCTCCTCTCCGATGAAGGCATGAGAAAACCGTACTCATTTGCTGAGATTTCACCGGAAGACATGGGCCAAATGTATTTCAGAAAGAATAAGGGAGAACTAAGAGAGGAGAGGAGAGAATCCACCGGTAAAAGAAACCGGCGGTAGAAACCAGCGGCGGAGCCGCCAAGAGAGTCAAAGGAGAAAAATTGTAAGGAGCCTGAGACGTTTTTCGGATCAAAATCTCGGATGACTTTCCTCCGTCTAGGTTGAATTGCTAAAATAACTTCTCTATATTATAATTTAATTTAAGTTTTTTTTAATAAGTTAAAATAACGAAATTACTATATTGTTTTTCTCCAAATTCTTCAAATTTACGACACTTTTTTCTTTTTCTTTTTCCTTTTGATTTTAACATCTTTCAAATCCTAATTTAATCTTTTCTATCAAAGATCCCACTAAAACCGAAATTCACAAGTTTATCAGTTCAAATTTCCAACCAGTTCAGCTAATTCTGATTTGCCGATTTCATGGTGCCTCGTATGAAAAGAAAAAAGGGAAGTTCGGTTGAGAATGTCCACACCCTCACCATATCCTCCACCGCCGCCGCCGTCGAGTTCAAACCAGCTTCACCAAGTTGCAAACGGTTTCACCGTTGCAACTTTCATTGTCACAGCCTGCATCGGTAAACCCTAAATTTTGTGGAACCATAGTTACTATAACTAGATCCAACTAGTCAGACTAGTATTAATAGTTCAAAGTAGTCTGACTAGTATGCGTAGTTCAACTAGTTTAACCAGAACAGTTAGTATAACTAGTTGCAGAGCTTGCAGAGAAAGACATTGCTGAAGAGGAGGCTATTGCTGCAGAGAAAGACATTGCTAAAGAGGAAGCTATTGCTGCAGAGAAGGCGATTGCAGAGCTTGCAGAAAAGGCAATTGCAGATGTTATTTTTGGTAATGGTAAGAG